TGATAAAAATGCAGATTCAGACTCAATAGATCTGGGGCCCAGCCTGAGATTCTGTGTTTTTAACAAACACCCAAATGATGCAGCTGCTGCTGGTCCAGGGACCACACCAAGGTGATGAACGAGCTTACCTAACAGCCACTGTGTGGCCTTAGGTAGTCTCAGAGCCTCTCTGGGCTTCAATTCTTTTTTTTTTTTTTAAAGATTTTATTTATTTATTTGAGCAAGAGAATGAGAGAGAGAGAGCACATGAGAGGGGGGAGGGTCAGAGGGAGAAGCAGACTCCCTACCGAGCAGGGAGCCCGATGCGGGGCTCGATCCCGGGACTCCAGGATCATGACCTGAGCCGAAGGCAGTCGCTTAACCAACTGAGCCACCCAGGCGCCCTGAGCTTCAATTCTTCATCTGTGTATTACACAGGTCAACAAACGTAAATTGATGGCGTAGTCCTGTCAGGCTGCCCTGGTGCTTGCTGGAAAAACAAAGGTGAATAAACCACAAGCCAGAGAGGGCCCTGGAGCCTGGGTGGCTTAAAAGTCCAATGATAATATTTAAAGATCCTTTGGATTCTAAAACTTCATGGCTCACTGGCAGAAATAGAATTAGAAGAATTTCCTCTCCCAGAAAACACCTTTCCAGACACTATGGCAAGGATCCCTCCCCCAGCAATTACTGTTCTCAGAATCAGGGAATATTCTCTCAGAAGTAACCCCAAAAGAAATTTAGTACAAACTCTATCTTGCCATTTAACAGGTGGGAAAACTCAAGAACAGAGGCAGGAAGTGTTGGGTCCAGAGCAAATTACCCGTTTTCTAGCTATGCTTTCAAAGGCAGTGCTGTCCAATAGAAATAAAATGTGAACCGCAAAATTTTAAGGAAGTAATTTAAAATTTTGTGGTAGCCACATTGGAAAGAGTAGAAAGAAACAGGTGATGTTAATTTTAATATTCCATTGACCTAATGCCAAAAATATGATCATTTCAACATGTGATCAGGATGATAAAATTATTAAGGAGATATTTCAAATTCTTTTTTATGGTACTAAGATTTTGAAATTCGGAGTCGGTATGCCTCTAGCATACCGTAATTTGCATGAAGCCACATTTCCAGTGCTCAGTATAGTCCATGGCTACCATGTTGGACGGTGAAGGTGGAGATCCAAGTTAGAGCATCCTACCCTAACCCCACTGTACAAACACAGACCATCGGGACCAATTTTCCATTGGTCATTAGCATTCTTCTGATGATCCGTGATCATTTTTTTCTTTATAGACCCTGGAGTTGCAGCTTTCTGTGGCCAAGGTGAATGGCATTCCGCTTCTGGGAGGGACCTTCAATGCCACCTAATCTCACTTGACATATGACTTCACCGAACACCAGAAGAGGCCAAACAGCCCATCGTGGGGCTCGGTGATGGCAGGCTGGCGGCTGGAACCCACATTTCCATAGTTCCTCGTGTGAAGTGCTTGTAACACAGGGCTAGCCGCCTAGAAGTGCCCGAGAAATCTCAGCCACCTTCTTCGTTTCTCCTCTTCCAGTTTTGCACCGAACCGGTCTGTTCCCAGAGACACGCCGCTCGATGAAAGTGAGATACAACTCAGAGCGAGTTTCGGAGGAGGAAGTGTCATTTCCAGTCTGCCTGGTGGGTGCGCCTCCTGAGGGGACGTTCATTACATAAGCGGCAGGGGGACACACCTACCTGATTAGTGTCTCCAGCACACGCCTTTCAGCCAGGAAAGCCACACCGCCTCTCCCTAGGAGGATAGTGGTGTGGAACCCAGGCAGGTACATGCAAAAATTACTTCTGCCATCTGACGAGTAGGGCCAGTTCTTGGGTGTTATCCCCAAAGTGCTTTTCTCCTGCAGCACCACCTCAAGAAAAACCAGTTTCAGGAGCACCACGCCTAGGATCACATGATGCAATCTGATCTTAGCGTCTCATTGCATCAGTGTTCCTGACGCATGTGTTTTCTGCACTGGCAAAGAGACTTATAATGGGGAAGGAGAAAAAAAAAAAAAAGGAAAAAGACTCACAGGCTGAAATCTAAAAGTACTATCAGTACTTCTCCTAATTGGCCACACAGGGTGTTTGGAGGATAAACACCCAACCAACCACGGAGACCTGGCAGGCATCAGCATGCCATTTCCTGAAGGGGACTTGATGGCATATTTAGGCAAAATTCTTTTCGGGTTGGTTCTACTTAGGTTTTATATGAAAGCATCAAGGTTTAATCTCCTAAATCTTTTTTAATGCAGGTCTGTTAAGAAGAGGCTTTCAAAGGGTTTTTCTATTTTCTGTCTTGACGTATCTGAAAATCTCTGGAAAGTACCAGTTGATTTCTCATTTCTAAAGTTCTCTTACATAAGCGCTCTTGGCTCCCTGGACACACAGACTTGGGACTGATCAAATACCTTAGATTTGGGACCCCTGGTGTCTCTGTCTTCCTTTAGATATTTGTTGCCTCCTGAATCGTGCTTCTTGCTATAACGATTAAGGAATGAATTAATTGCAAAAAGCCTGGAACCCTACCCATCTTCCGGAAGCTGTCTAAAGAAGGAACTTCTGTGTGGCAGTCTAAGACAAAAGGGAGCAGGTAAAAATCTTTGGTAGGAGGCCATGTGCTATTCAGATCATAACGTTGGAGGGGAAACCAGTAAGTCATCCACCTCCCAGGATGAGTAAACAGATTTTCTAAGAAAAATCAATCCTTAATGTGGTTCACTAGGCACTACCTGATCTAGCTCTTGCCTACTTACCCAGTTCTGGGCACATTGCTCTTCTCGCCCGGCCCCATGGGACACTTATCCTCAACATGGCATGTCTCTCAGGGTCCTGGGACTTTTGTATGTACTGTTCCTCCACATGCCCTGGAATAGTCTTCTTTATCGCTCTTCATCTGGTGGGTCTTCCCCATCCTGAAAGTCACTCAGTTTAACTTTCTAACGGAGGCCTTCCCTGCACCCAGAACAGGATGAGTGCCATTGCGGTAAAGGTTCCACGCAGGTATTACTCCGCAATGCTTCCTTAGGACAGGAGAAAACTTTCCTCCTCAACCCTCTTAAGGGTCGCTGGCTGAGTCTGAAAATCATGCCGATGAAGACAGTTTAACAGGAGAAAAGCATATGACTTTATTTTAATGTAAGTTTTATGTGACATGGGAGCCCTCATAAGGAAATGAAGACCAAAAGGAACAGACCCGTACATTTTTCTGTTTTTATGTTTGAAGGAGAGTGGAGGGTGCTGGAGGACTAGCGTAGGTCAGAGGTAGGTGTAGGACACTGGGGACATGTAGCAAGGGTCATTTATTAGGATTCTTCTTGGTGTTCATTTGTCTTCGGAGAGAAGGCTGTTCCTTTCCTCCTGGGATGAGGCGGGCATCTCTCATCTGAGGGTTTTATGACCTGTTTTTGGGAAGAAGGGTTGGGAGGGAAGGGGCTTAGGTGGTGTTGGGGGAGGTTGGGAGATGTGGGGGGTTATCAGTGACCTTAAACCGGCTTCCGCAAGTTTTTTGGAAACTCCTTCAGCTTACAATATTCAATTCACCAAGGTGCAATGTTTTGGAGTAGCGTGTCCTGAACCCCATCACTTATCACGCTTGTGATTACTTGCTTAATGCTCTATGTCTCCCGTTAGACAGTGTGTTTCACTAGGACAGGAATCTCGTTCTCTAGCTTTGGATACCCAGCACCTAGCACTGTGTGTCTCGCAGGTACTGGGGGTTCAGTAAATATTTATGAAAATTTCCATCAAAACTAGCTTCTCGGGCGCCTGGGTGGCTCAGTTGGTTAAGCCACTGTCTTTGGCTCAGGTCATGATCCCGGAGTCCTGGGATCGAGTCCCGCATCGGGCTTCCTGCTCGGCGGGGAGTCCGCTTCTCCCTCTCACCCTACCCCCTCTTGTGTTCTCTCTCTCTGTCTCAAAAAAAAAAAAAAAAAAAACACAACTAGCTTCTAGTGCATCCTAGGCCAGCGTATTAATTAGTAGCCAGTTCACTAATCGAGCAAATCTTTATGTAACTCTACCATGTAACAGCACCTTGCTACATTCTGGGGACACAAGAGGCGAATAAAACGCAGCTTCCCTTAGCACAAGAGAAAATTTTATTCACACTGTATCCATCTTTCATTCCGATCACTCAATTAGGGCACGTCCCTTGTTGGCGGATGCGTGAGCAAAGTAACTATTTTCCGGCGAGTGTCCTCAGGTGACCTGTCTAGACCTGCCCAGGGAAAAACAATCTAACATTCTCCTAAACCCCAAAGAAATCCCTGGCGCGGGACGCAATGCGCAGAGGGCCCGGGGCGCGCGGCGCAGCCTGCAGAACGCGCAGGACCGGGGCGCGCGGAGTCTGGCCGCGTGGCGCCCGGCGCAGGCTCCGCTGGGCCGGCCGTCCCGCGGGCTCCGGCGCGGGCGCGGGCGGGGCCGGGCCGCCGCGGGGTCCGCCGGCCGGCAGGGGGCGCGCGCTCCCCGGGCCCCCAGCCGCCCGCTCCGTCGCGCGCTCGCTTGCCGCCCGGCAGCACATGTGTTTCTGTTTTGTGTTGTAGCATTTGTTCTGGAAGCTCGTATTTACATTTTAAGTGAATCTGGTGAGTGGGCTGGAGCCCTGGTCTGGGCCGGGGGGAAAAAAAAAGCCCCCCGGTTCATCTTTTAGTTGCTCCTCTTCCGTTTTCTCTCCGGTTTCTTATCACTCCAACCAGGTAGGGACTGAAAATCAAAATCGACAATGTTCAGTTTGCGGGATCTGGGAAAGTTTTTTTTTTTTTTTCCCCCTCCTTTTTTTTTTTTTTCCTGAAGGAGAAAAGGTAAAAAAAAAAAAAAAAACCCTAAGGAAGGGGGGTTGGGGGATTGAATGAATAAAAAGGGGAAGGAAGGCGGATCCACGTGGTTTAATCGGAGACAGACAGAGATCCCATTGTTCAAAATCAATAAAAAAAAAAAAAAAAGGCAGGGCGAAAGCGCAGGGACGCTAGGGGAAAGTAGCGGCGGAGCGGGGCACTTCGCAGCCGGGATCGGAGGGACCGGCTGGGCCGCACGTTCGGGGAGGGGCCGGGAGAGTTGGGCACCATTAAAGTTTTTATTTTTCGTGTCTGTGCGAGCAGGTGTTTGGGGCTGGGGGCCGGCTTCATTTGCTCCCCTCTCGCCGGGGGCAGCCCACCCCGAGGGATTAGGCTAATTAGAGCCAGAGGTCGGAACCCCCAGGCTGGCGCGGAATTGGGGGCTCGGGCGAGGGAGGGGGGCGACGGAGAGAATTGCATTTAATTGAGGGGGCTCGGGGAGGGGGGCGCGAAGACAAAAGCAGCAGGTGGGGCGGCCAGGGAGGGGGTAGCGCTTTCAAAGGGGGATCTTTGAAGTATCCCGGAGCCTTCTCTAATTAGAAGCTAGGGGATCGCAGGCTTTTTCTTTCTCTTTACTTTCTTGGGGACCAGGCTGCGATGGTGATGCCATGTAGGCAAACCTAACTTGAGGATGGCCCGGGGGGGGGGGTCTCCATTTTTTTTCTTTCCCTAAGCGGATTGCAGTCGGAGACCTGGGCTCCCGTGCGGGATTCCCCGGAGGAGGCGCGCCGGGGCCCGGGAGGGGCGCGATTTCCTCCCGGCTCGCCCCCTCTCCGCCCACCCCGCGGCCGCCACTTTGGGGAGGGCAGGGGAGGAAGTGGAGGCCGGTGGCTCGGCTGCGCTCCCCTCCCCCCGCGCAGTTTATAACCCGTCCATTGTGCGCCGCTGCCCCGTGTCTCCTCCAGCGCGACCATGCCCAGGAAGAAGGCGGCGGCGGCGGCCTGGGAGGAGCCGAGCTCGGGCAACGGCACGGCCCGCGCCGGGCCCAGGAAGCGCGGCGGCCCGGCCGGCAGGAAGCGCGAGCGGCCCGAGCGCTGCAGCAGCAGCAGCGGCGGCGGCAGCAGCGGCGATGAGGACGGCCTGGAGCTCGACGGGGCCCCCGGCGGGGGCAAGCGCGCAGCGCGGCCGGCGGCGGCCAAGGCGGGCGGCGCGGCCGTGATCATCACCGAGCCCGAGCACACCAAGGAGCGCGTCGTGAGTGCGGGGCCGGGGGGACCGGGGGGCCGGGGCCGCGGCGCGTCACTGCGCTTCCTGGCCGGGGGCGGCGGGGCCGGCGCAGGCTGCGGGCTGAATCATCGCCGCCGCCGCCGCCTCACAACAAAAGGGCGCGGGCCGGGGGCGGGCGCGGGCCGCGGCCTAGCCGACCCCGCCGCCCCCGCCCGCGCGACCGTTGGCCGTTGGGGCGCGCGCCCCGGGCCGCCGCCGGGGGAGGGGCGGCCGGAGCCCGCGCCCGCCCGCCCGCGCGAGGGGGTCATGGCCCCGCCCCCGGCGCCGCGCGAGCCGACTCCCTCCGCCTCCCCTCCCCCTCCCGCCCCGGGAAGGGAGACTTTTGCAAGTTGTCTCGGGCCGGAGGAGGGGACGCGCGCGCGCCGGGTGCGGGCCGCGGCGCCCGGTGCCCTCGCCGCCCCCGGCTCCCGTCCCCCTCCCCAAGGCCGCTGTTCCGCCGGGGCGCCGCCGGGAGAGGGGGCCGCCGGGGCGCTGCGGGAGCGGCGGTTTGCGCCGGGGCTTTGAGGTTCCCGCCGCCTCGGCTCCGGCGCTTCGGGGGGGCGGGGCCTGGCGGCCGCCGCGCATGCCTCATACAGCCCTGCGCCGTCTCGCGCCGCCTGGGAGGCGGGGGTGGCCGGCGCCGGGGCGGGGTGCGAGGGCGCATGCTCCGGAGAGCCCTCCCCCTAAGGTCGGGAAGCCCCCGGGGCTGAAAGGTGTTGGGGCTTTGTTCAGCGTTTGAGGTTGGGGGCGCGGGTGCTCGGGGCGGGCTCCGTGTACAACCCCCTTCCCTCCCCGCGGGAAGAAGCATCTCCCGTCCCCTGAGTGGGCTTCAGTTCTCTCGTTAGAGTTGGGCCTGCAGATCTTAATTGAGGTCATAACCAACTGGTGCCTGCAAAACCCTGCACAGAGCCAGAGATCTTAGCCTGGGGTCTGCGATCCTCAAAACCCACGGGCTTCTTGTGGGACGTGTATTCAGTAGAGGATCAGAGCATTGGCCAGATTTCAGATAGCCCCAGAAGAGTAAGAACTTCCACTTAGGGTGTAGGCACTCTGGAGAGGCCCTTTTCTGTCCCCAAAGGGTGTGTGAGGCTTAGCAGTACCAGAGTGCTTCCCTCAGAGGTGCTCAGTGTTTAAATGGTTAACAAGAATGCGTTTCATCATCTGCTTTACAGATGAGAAAACGGAGGCACAGAGTTTAAGGGCCTCGTCCCAGCATCCCATGGCAGTAAATTTCCACGTGGGCTCAGGTGTATACTGATGGCGTCCTTAACCCCTGTGCAAAGTGTTCATGTGAAAATGCTTGGTAGCTGTGCCCTCCCGTTGAAAGGGTCAGCACGTCAGATGGTGGAGGAGAGCCCTTGTTACTGAACTGTCTTAGCCTCGGGTCTGGGACCAGGCTGTGCCAGGAACTGGCCGGAATGGAGAAACTGGAGCACAGGAACGGTTTTCCTTTGACAGATGTAATTCTCTGTGCGGGACTCTAGCTGTTTGCCCTTCCCGTCCCGGTGTGTTGGGAGGGAAACGGAACAGAAGGGCCAGCAGGGCTCTGTCTCTGCTGTGTTCTGTGTGCCGGAGCGCCTGTCAGCTGCAGGGTTCCAGTCAGCCTATCGGAGCAGCGTGTTTTCTTGTCCCGAAGTGAAGGAAGTGATCCTTACGCCAATGCTGAGGTTCACCCAAGCATGTAGTCCCAGAGAGAGTGTGCAAAGGGGCACACGCTGGCTTGTCTGATGGGAATGGCACTTTTTTAGTCTTACTGAGAGATTCCTTTGCTCCCCAGGAGTAGACAGACCCAGCAATGCCTTGCAGTTTGCATTTGCTTTGTATTTACGACTCACGAACCTTGTACATTCTGGATACACATACACAAATCTATACGTACCTTCTCCCACCCCCTTAAAAAACAAGCAGTAGGGCGGTTTCCTTTGGACTAGTAAGCGCATCCAGGAGACTGAGCATCCAAATGCCTCGTGGAAGATGCACACCCTAAGTTTCCAGTTCTTGTTAGCATCTTTTGAGTTTGGTCCAGAGTCAAGGCCAGGCCCGTGCTGCCCCGCTGCTTTCCCACGGGCGTGGGTCCCCCCACCTGGCCCCAGGTTCCCGGCTTCCAAGGGAAGCATCAGCTCGCTCCTGCGAAGCAGGCCTGCCCCGGGCCGCCAGCAGTCCCTAGCTTGTTTCCAGAGAGACTTTTTGCGGGAGAATTTTGCAAGCCTCACTGTGGAGGGCCGCCTCAAGGAGGTTTGTGTGTGAGAGCAGTTGCCGGGAGCAGTCTGGAACTCCAAGCCGAAGTCGGGGCTTGTGAACCCAGATACTCATGTGGTTGAGGGGCAAGGTTGCCTTGAGTAAAGAAGTGTATTTTTGTAAAACAGTCTTAGGATTTCAGTCTCAGGAAATGCTCTCTCCCGGGCTTACGTAGAGTGTTGTCAGATGAGCATTTTACAGTGGTCTAGGCTGGATGACGTGTGAGCCCCATGACCCTGGAGGAAACGCAGGCCACCTCGGCAGAGTTCTGGAAAACGGGAGTGTCGCCAGCTGTGTGGGTCTTTGTGGTTTCTTCAGTGTTGGGGTGCTAAGGTCTTGTGGACCCCAAGACGAGTCTGTCCCATCTGCAAGGGCCAAACAAATATGACCAAAAAGCGAGCTTGAAGTCTGTTCTAGTTGATAGCCCGTTAGGGAATTTGTCGTTGCTGGCATTTCTCTGAGCAGCCTTCCCCCTGCCGGGGGTAGCGGTTTCTTAAAAGAATGTATGTTAAAAGGTGGACTCTCAGCTTCATAAACATGCTTTTTGCTCTTGGGCAATAATTCAAAAATCGCTTTGAACCAGAAATCCCATTTTGTTGATTGAAGAAGCTCAGTGCATTTTTCTGCGGTGGCCATTCATCTCGGACCAGCTTACGTGACCGGGGTGTCAGGAGGCAGCAGGTGGAGTGAAATTCACTCATCCTCTTGGGGAGACTGTTGGACCGGCTTCACTGCCACATAGCCTTTAGTCACAAAGAGCACTCTCTCGGCCCATCAGGGAAGGCTGGATTAGACCTCGAAGGGTCCCAGAGCCTCCGTCCCTCAGCCCCGACAGCCATCCTTGGGGTTCCTCCAGGTGGAGCCAGCAGACATCGGGGTCTTTCCCACCTGTCAGGCCAGCTCAGGTCTGTGACCAAGAGGGACATGGGCTGTGATTTAAAGGGTGTTAGGAGTTCTGTTCCTTATTTGAAATTTTTCTTTTCTAGAAGGTAGAGGGAAGAATTACATTAGGGAGAAATAAAGTGGGTGGCCTATGGCAAACGGCTGTGCAGATCATAGCATGAAGTCTAGTCTGTTAGTTTCATCTGATGGGTGAGGACATAAGGCCCAGGACAGGAAAACCTGAGAAAGAGAACAGTCTCTCTGGAGGACTCCGACCACGGTGACTAGAGTAGACTGCACTGATGAAGGCTTGCCAGAAGCCTTGGATCAGAAAGGTGGGAGTTTTGGAGAAGCCTAGTACCCACAGGCCCTTGCTCCCTGGTGCAGAGGAAGCCCGCTTCTGCCCGGGGCCATCGCAGAAGCTCTTGCAGTCTGAGGGAGCGGCCGCGCTGGTAGATGCCCCTCCATGTCATGGTTTCATGGTCACGTCGCCCCCGGGGGTTGTCTGCTGCCCTCTCCACGCAGACCTGAGGAGCCGTGGGGGCCGGCCAGGCATCTGGGCAGAGACCCAGGGCCACTCCTTCCTTGGGGAACTTGACAGGACCCACTGGCTGCTGTTCATCCTCTGTGGTAGACCTGCAGAATGTTCCAGCCAGGCCTGCCCGCTAAGCAAAGAAGGGGAGATAAGTGAGGGAAACTCGGCTCCCGTTCAAGTAACCCGAGCCCGTGGGTGCTGTGGGCTGGGACTGTCCTCCGATGGAGGTCGTTCTCTCAATAATTTACGTGTGATGAGGTCCTTCTCTGTCCCCAGCTGTTGGGCTCCCCTTCGTGTGCTGCCTGCAGGACGGGGCCTGTTTTGTGGGGTGCCCATGGCCTCAGGTCTGGGTCACGCAGCGTCCCCCTGAAGATGTGTTCCTCTTAAAAACGCACACGCCGTGTCGCCAAGCATCCCGCCAGGGCAGGCACTGCCTAGAGCTTAGAATGACCGGGGCCGGGGGCGCTTTTTTTCATCGAGCCTTCCAAGAACAGTTCTGTAAACAGAAGGAAACCATTCTTTTCGGTGACCTGGGGTGGTGAGGTAAAGGATGACAGCAGAGAGGAAAGTCCCCCTTCCCTGGCCCCTGCAGGGACCTGGGTGCGTGGTTCAGAAGCGAGTCTCCGCCTGACGGTCAACTTTTAAAAGTGTGTTTGGACATTTCATTAATGCAGCACACTGCTGAGTATTCTAAAGAGTGCCACCCCAGATCGGACAGTGGCCTTTTTGAGTGGTGCGTCCCCTCGACCACCCAATCGTGTGTGGTCCTAGTGCCATTCTGCGTGGGGAGGCTGAGTGTCTGGGCTCCGGAGTCCTGGGGCAGGGAACACGGCCTCTCCCTCCAAGGGCCCGGCCCCGGAGCTGCCCCGTCCCCACTCACCGCTGCTTCCCTGGCTCACGGGCCGGCAGCCGGGATCTCCTGTGTCACACGGTGCTCTGATGCTGTTCCCCCCCGCCCCCGCCCCCCAGAAAGGTGCCGCGCACAGCAGGCAGCAGAGGGCCAGTCCAAAGTCACTGGTGATGCAGGGCTCTGCTGGCCCCGAGGTCGGCCGCTTTAGGACTCCCTGCGCTGCCACGCCTGGCTTCTTGCAGTTACCTCTAAGGCAGTTTGCAGGGTGGAGGGAAATGCCACGTATGTAGCTGATTTTTTTAGTGTTTTGCACAAGGTATTTTCAAGAGAAATCGACGGATAAAAATGAGCCTGGGCCTCTCAAACAAGCTGCCGTGGGCAGGTTTGGGATTATGCACACTGATGAGGTGGTGACCACCTCGGGCCTCCGTTCACGGTACGAGCCGCGGGGGGAGGCACGAATAAAGAATGATGATTTTTCTTTTGTTTCTGGCTGTCGTGGGACAGACTGCCAAAGCTGGAAGCTGCACTGCAAGCTAATCCTTTTTTTCCTCTCTTTCCCTCTCTCTCTAGAAACTTGAAGGGTCTAAGTGCAAAGGGCAGCTTTTGATTTTTGGGGCAACCAACTGGGACTTGATTGGTCGAAAAGAAGTGCCTAAACAGCAAGGTATGAGACCCAGTTTCTAAAACTACGAAGCTACTGTTTGTCGAGTGTTTCCTGTGTGCTAGGTGTCCCGTGTGGTTCCTGCGAGCAGCCACCAGGTAGGTACTCTCTGCGTCGACAGAAGTATTATTCAGAGAGGCCAAGCGACTTGCCTGAAGCCACACAGCCCCTCTAGGGACAGGGCAGGACTCAAACCCTGGTCTTGTGCTAGTCTCTCATTTCACAGTTCTGTGTTGTTGTTTTTTTTAAGATTTTATTTATTTATTAGAGAGAGAGCAGGAGAGAGAGGGAGAGAGAATCCGAAGCGGACTCCATGCCGAGCGCAGAGCTGGACACGGGGCTCAATCCCACAACCGTGAGATCACGACCTGAGCCAAAACCAAGAGTCAAACACTTAACTGACTGAGCCACCCAGGCGCCCCTCACAGTTACGTATTTTAAAAACCCAGTTCCATTTAGGATTAAACGGGAGAAGTACAAATAGTCACAGATAGCATGGACACCTTTTTCCCATCCTCCTCCTCACATCAGTTACTTTCATGAACATGAAGAGGCTGGTCCCGTGGGATGTCAGAATGTCCAAGACGTTTGTCACATGTCCAACTTGTTAGACATTGCAGAAGAGTCCATGAGTTTGCACGCTGCCAAATTGTTGCAGGAACTGGTCAGACAGAGCGAGCAGCAGTGTGGAGTGGAGGGAGCAGAGAAGCCCCAAGAAGTAGCTTTTGGTTCCCAGTGGCTTTTTAGAAAATCGGTATCTTTCCTCAGGAGGATACTGGCCCATCCAAGAGAAGTGGAGCTGGCCTGTCGCCACATTTTATGGCTTCTTGATTTCATTTGGAAAGATTCCCAAAGTACTTTCCAACATCGCCCAGCGAACAAATATTTGCACACGGACACTCCCTGGTGCCTCAAGCTGGGCAGAGGAGATCATCGTATTCCGTGAATGCAGCAGAACTTCCAGCAGCGCCTGGGGTCTGGCTGAGCTGGAGGGGGCCCGAGCCCTTTGCCTCCTGTCGTGGAAAGGACCACCTGCCCCAGGGCTGGTGTCCAGGAAGCCCCTCCCGGGGTGTGATGGCCACCATCTCCCTGCCGGCCCCGTGCGGGCGCCACATCATGTCTCCAAGCTGCTCTTCCAGTGAGTGGCCGGCTCACAATCACACACGCTCAGGCTGGAGCCTGGAAGTAAATGGCAGGAAAGCAAGCGGCAGAGTATGGGCTGTCTCCTGTGGACATAGGGTGGGGTGCCGGGCTCCCCACACCCCGGTGAGGCCCAGAAGGAAGGAGAACTGCCTCTGGTTGAAAATCCACTTTCACGCCCTGGTTGAAGGCATTCTGGGCGCATTTTAAGACTGCCTTTTTGTCTTCTCCCATTGCGGCCTTTGCTGTCCTGATGGATCTCCCTGCAAGTGAAGTCTTATATAATTAACAAACATTCTTCATAAGTATTTTAAAGTATCCTTTGGCCCTCCGTGACCTTGCCGGGGAGACTATAGGAAAAGGGGGGGGACTTGTTGTCCCGCTGGTGCGAGCCAAAGGGGAGAAGGAGTTCTCCTCCCACCCCGGCCCTTCCCAATCTCCTCGCACCCTGGGGGAGGGGGGGCGGCGGGCAGCCCCCCGGGTGCCCACTGCCACGAAGCCCCTGGAATCGGCGTGATGCCCACTTCGTTGATAGCATGACACGGTGGCTCGCGCTCCATCCCCCGACCGCCAGGCTGGCCGAGGAGCCGCCACTGCCACTGGGCACCGAGTTTGACTCGGATCACTCGGACAGGGCTCCTCGGGCTCTCGGCATCTTGGGCATTGATCCTCCTGGAGCTGCCCTAGGGAAGAGGCGTCGGCACACCAGGGCGTCCGGCCCCCTGTGAGACAGGTCCACTTCAGGCTGGGTCTGCTACGGTACCGGGTCCCTCCACGGTGTCCCCGGGCACTGTGCGTTTTTCCCAGAGATGACACTGGTCAGTCCTGCCACCGTCCTTTTCGCCTTCGTGATAAACAGACTTAGGCAGAACCCCTGAAGGCCGTTATGTTTGGTGTGCTCTTTCCGGGGAATTGTTGGGTCGTCTTCCACCTTCCAGGAGAGCAGAGTGTCTCAGGGTGGAGCAGCTCTCCGGGGTGTTGCTGTGGTGGGGGCGGGGGGGTACTGACTGCGGCGGCCCCATAACTGAATGAGGGCGCGCCTGGCGCCCTCTGCTGGTGGGGCGCGGCAGGGCAGGACTGGCCTCGAAGAGTTCACCGATGCTTTTCCGCTGGAGCCCGGTAACTGAGCAGCCTCATAACCAGCTCCGACATCCAGATTAACGTGACACGGTTGACGTGGTAGCTGCTAGCATTTCCTAATGGTCCCCACGGGCCGAGAAACGTGGCTCGTGTCTCTGTCCTCGAGAGCCCCAAATTGAAAGTATTAAGCAAAACGTTGGCCATGCCCTGTCCACGAATGGGGAGGAGAGGGAGTTTTGAAGGAAGCAGCTGTGTTCTTCCCACCCACACGCCTTCCAGTGTTCCTGGGTGCTCCCTGGGTGCCAGGCATTGGCGAGGCCCTCGGGTTGCTAGGGCCTGGAAGGCACATGAGTTCAGTAGGCTTGAGTGCTGTGATTGGCCTCCCGGTGTGTGGGAGCCATGAGCTAAAAGAGGGATGTGGGCATGGAGGGCTTCCCAGAGGAGGGAGTGCTTGACATGAGGTTTGAAGAACAAGCAGGGGACACGGAAGGGCATTCTGTGGGAGGGAATGCATGGCAAAGCATGGGGCCATGACCTGGCCACTACAGTGGGACCCCGGAGAAAGGAGGACACCGTGTGGCAGGGGAGGGGTGTCAACTGGGCCCCCCCTGCACGGGGCCTGGTAGATGTGCAAGGTGGGTAGGTGGTTCTGGGGAGGATGGGGACACTCAGACTCCGCTCGGAAAGGAGCCTCTGGCTGTAGGGGTGAGGCTGAGGTGGGTGGAGGGCAGGCAGGGGAAGGTGAGAAGGGGTATGGGGAAGGAGATGCTGGGTCCACCACCAGCTTTCCTGGGTTGGGCTCACAGCAGGAGGGAGAGCACCGTCCCTTTTTGGCCACTTGCATGTGGGCGTGCTCAGCAGCCGATGCACGAGGGTCTGAGGTCCCCGTGGGTTGGGGCCGGAGACAGAGGTGGGGTGACAGCGGTCGGTTTGTTTCAGTTGCTGCACATTTTCTCCTTGGGCAGCTTCCCGATGCGAGGCTGACACAGCACCCCGGGGGTTCTATGTCGTAGGAGAGTGGACCCTTTGTGGCTAGTGACGTTTCTTGGGGTGCATTTCGCTCCCCAGTCACTGTGGGTGTTTGATTTGCATTCTTCCCTTTGCAGCTGCCTACCGCAATCTCGGTCAGAATTTGTGGGGGCCCCATAGATATGGCTGCCTGTCGGGGGTCCGGGTGCGGACGGTGGTCTCGGGTTCGTGCGCTGCCCACAGCCTCCTCATCACCACGGAAGGGAAGCTGTGGAGCTGGGGTAAGTCTGGGGTCGGGCGGGACAGGGTGACTTGTGGGGGTGAGCCCTCCCGTGGGGCTGACTTTCTTCTCTGCCTGGAAGGGTGGCCTTTTTGCAGCCATATTTCTTCTCCCCAGTTTCCAGTTGGTCTCGCCTGTTCCTTGCAAGTGCCTCCCCTTCCTCCACCCTTCTGCCATTTGCTTGTACACTGAACTCTTTGAATCTTCTTTTTTGGAGGAAAGATTTTTTTTATTAGCGCATGAGCGGGGGAGGGGCAGAGGGAGAGGGACAAGCACAGAGCCCGACATGGGGTTGATCCCAGAACCCTGGGACCATGGCCCGAGCTAAAGGCAGACGCTTAACCTTTTCCTGATTGTTCTGACTGAATCTGGATTTTTGTGATCTTGAGGTACCTAGAATTGAATTCCTCTTTTAGATACGCTGTCCCCTGGGCAGACAGTCCCCCCCCCTTCTTGCTTCGTGGCACAGTGTTGACGTAAGACCTCTGTTGTTGCCACTTTAAATGCCACTGGCCACGTCATGGCATTGGCCACCGTGTCTCTACGATCCTGTTCCTCTGGTTCCAGGGATCACACCCGTCTGCAGGTTCAGTTGCTTGGTGTCTATTTCTTCTTAGATTTCCTGACAGTTGAGTTTACTTTTTTCTGAGTGGAATTGCTCTTCTGCTGCTGGACCCCTTCGCCCGGGTCCCTGGGAGGTGGCGTCCTTGCCCTTGGTCCCCTCCATGGGGTCCCACACACTGCTGCCTGTTTCCTCCTTCCAGATTTTTGATCCAGGTACTGACTAAGGCTCAGTTTAGCCCCACGCCCTCTGGTAGCTCCGGGACTCTTTCTCCAGCTGGGTATGTTGGCAGTTGTCCCCGCCCTTTGTTTCTGGTCGTTTGGCTAGCTTTTAGTCCATATGACTGCTTTTTTATTTCAGTCTCTTTGAACCGTTTTTTGCAACTTCATGAGCTGCTGTACCAAAGTCCAAATATATTAACATCTGTTGTCTTGCTGCACTCTGCTAATTTTGTAATGCTGTTGGGAAAAAAAAAAAAAAGCTAACAAGTGTGTCTGGCCCAAATTTAAACTTTATAGTCTCTTGATGACATGCTGACATTGCCACGGTTTTCCTTTTCCCCGATTGGCGCAGAGGTGTGTCCTTCCCCCAGAGCACACCCCTTCTGCCTAGTGTGCCAGCGCTGAACACAGCAGTCTGTCTGAGTTCCGAACTTGAAATATCTTCTTTCTGATCTCTTTACTGAATTGCACTTACATGGTGCTTCTAAAAATGTGCTCTGTGCTGGCCCTGTGGGCAGGGAGTTGCAGAAGGCCGTGCACGCAGCCTGGCCCCCGAGCAGAGACCTGTGTCCCTTCAAACAGACTTAGTGGCAGGGTGGGGGGATTACGTCCCGGTGCCACGGTTAGCTGCTTGAAACGGCCTGGGATGTTGTCTGACGTCTGGAAGCTTCAGTGCTACAGCACGTCACTCTTGAGGGGTCCGCACCGGTCAGCCACTTGGGCCTCTTGAGGGGCTGAGAAACCATGCCTTTCCCGGTGAACTTAGACGACTCCTGGTAGAAACTGCCAGAGGGCTGGAATCCGAGCGAGCTTGAGGATGGTTTTTCTCGTAGCCGGCCATTCCCTTCCTTCTCCAGCCCTCAGGTTGCTTGGTCCCCATTCTTGTGGCTTTGCCCTCCATGTTTCTCATGACAAAAGGTCCGGAGGTCATTGTCAGGGAAGGGTGTGAACTGCTCCCCTCCCCTGCCCCTGGGTGCCGTGACATTTTGGCCCTGTGAAATCTCCCAAATATGGTTACCCCCGCGTGGTGGTTCTCTTGGCCGGGGCGGGGGGGACCTGTGAGGGGCCCGCTGAGCTGTTTGGTTTGAGAACTGTGGTAAGCCCGTGTTGAAAAGCAGGGGAGATGTAGGGGCTCCTCTCGGCCCATCCTGCTTGTCATGTCTGCTCTGGAACCCAAGGGCCTTGCCGGAAGGCCTGTGCCTCACGGCTGTGTGGCGCCAGAGGCCGTGGTGACCCCGCTGGGACAGGCTTGTGGCCCGCGCGGTCCTGTCCTCTGTCCCTGGCTGAGGGTCCTGTGCAGGGCGGTCCACAGGCGGTGGGCTTGGCACTGCTCTGTGGGCCTTGTTTCCAAGGCAGGTAAAAAGAAATGATTAGAAATGAACCAAATGGTCCATGGAAAATGCCCAGGGCAAGTCTGTGGGGCAGGTGTCGAAAATGGTTCCCCTCTTAAAATCCACCTCGGAGGGAAGGGAGCGAGGGAATTGTGGGCTGGCTGGCAGGTGGAGTGAGAACTGGGAGTTTCCGTGAGCTCATGTGCCTGCACGGGACACCAGGGCAAACCGAGCGCTTCTGTCCCTTCCGTAGCAGAGCCACGGAAGGGGCTCCCGGCCAGGTCCCAGCCGCTGTCCCAGAAAAGCGGGTCAGAGAAGGTGAGGGAGGTGGTAGCGGCCTGCGGAGCCGTCTCTGGGGACGGCAGCGTATATCCTACCCTGGTCACCCAGCCCCACTCGCGGGCCTCGAGAGGTTGGCCATTGGCAGAAGAGCCGGGGCTTGTTTCTGCCTCGTCTTCGGCTGTCGCATGTGGAGGGCACCTTCGGGGGGACCCAGATGTGTCTGCCGCTCTGGCCACCCTCTCCTTCCCACTGTATCTTGCTCTTGTTCTGCAGGTCGCAACGAGAAGGGGCAGCTGGGACACGGTGACACCAAGAGGGTAGAAGCCCCCAAACTCATTGAGGGTCTGAGCCACGAAGTGATCGTGTCTGCGGCATGTGGGCGGAACCACACCCTGGCATTGACGGGTAAGGAACGGCTGGTTTCTTCTGAATCGGGCAGGAGGCCACACGGTCCCCCCTGGGCTTCGGGTGGAGTTGCCTCTGTGGCTCTTGGTCAGGATCAGAAAGGTGCCCAGAGAGCCCCGGTGGGTGCTTCTCGGGGCTGCTGACGGCCTCACCCACCTCCTGTTGGCATCGGAAGGCGGGCCAGGAGGCAGAGGCCGGAGGCTGTGCCTAGTGCCTCCCCGCACATTCGGCCTTGGCCGTGAAGGGCTTCTGCCCTGAGCTGCCCGCCCCCCCTCTGCCGTACGGTCTCACTTGCACTCTTCCTGGCAAAGGAGCTGTCTTATTATTTTGGAGCCTTTGATCCCAAATCGAGTTCAGAACCCTCAGTGTTCTTTTCCCTTCTGTGATACTGTTCTTTCCTTCCAGAAACGGGCTCCGTGCTTGCATTTGGAGAGAACAAGATGGGGCAGCTCGGCCTCGGCAACCAGACAGACGCTGTCCCGAGCCCCGCGCAGGTGCCGCACGCTCCCCTCTCCTGGCTCCAGGGCCTCTGTCTCTCTTTGCTTTTGTGCTCAACTTTCCGGGCTGACACCAAGCACTGCTCCCTGTAGTTCAGTCGATGCCTTGTGGAAACGGTCTAGAGTCTTGGAGTGGAATTCACGTGCTGTAGTCTTGAAAGCACGCTTCCTAGGCGCCCACGGTTGAAAAACCTCCAGAGGACAGTTCTCTCTGCTTGAAAGAATTTGCTACAGAGGCCTGTTCTAAGCCTGTTCTAAGCCTGTTCTGTTCCAAAGAAAGTGAGAAATGTTGGATGGATGGGATTCGTCTTTCACTGCAAATACTTTTTGAGTTCTGACCTTGTGTGGCGTCACCTGCGGGGGGCGTAGCACCCAGACAGGAGTTAGGCGGTCTTTTATTCCTGAGGAACGTGTGCTTCCATCAGAGAGGTGGCGATCACACCTAAGAGGGACTACTAACGGAAGGCAGCCACGTGCTAGTGAGCCTCTGATTAGTTAGGTTGAAGGGTGAAGGCGGGGCCTCACATTTCCTGGTCTGTAAAAGAGACTGTGTGCGAGCTTACCTGGGGTTTGAAGGATTTTTGAAATGTCCCCGTTGCGTCTGCCATTTGCACGTCTGCCATTTGCACGAAGGAGGAAGTGACAGTTTCTAGAGGAAGCTGGGAGCGACGGGCAGGGCCCAGGGCTCACACTTGTTGGGTGTGATAATAGCAGTTTCCCCGTCCCGTCTGACGTGTGTTCCCAGAGCCCATGCTGAGTTCCGGGGGGGGGGGGGGGGGGGGGGCGGCTTGGCTTTCTTATTTCCTAACTTTGAACAAAAGGTTTTATCTCTTGTCCACACCCTTCGTGCAGGCTAGTTAGGCTAGTGTCTCTGCAGAGGTTAAGGAGAACGGGAGAAAGCGTCTGTCTTCCAAGTTGATAGTGGCAGGGTGAGGTTTGGGGGTTATATGTGGGCTAGTCTCTGTTTCTTTACCCCTCCCACCCGGGCTGCTCTGCTGAGGTCTATGCTGACCGGTCGCAGTGTCGGGCATTTTGGGGAATGCGAGGCTGGGCGCACCACGTGCCCTGTCTTGGGATTCGACTCTGCTGGGAAGGTGGGGGTCACAAGGGTATTTCTTCATGTACACTCTAGGCTTTGGCCCTCAAAATTCCTGGGTCCGTTCAGTTTCTTTTGCAATGTAATAATTGTTTCATACCAACCTGCAGAGGGCGGGGAGGCTTGTTATCAGTCTTTTAAAAAATGTCTGAGAGTCTACTGTCTTGTCTTTTCAGATAATGTACAACGGCCAGCCAATTACCAAAATGGCCTGTGGGGCTGAATTCAGTATGATAATGGACTGCAAAGGGAACCTCTATTCCTTTGGGTGCCCTGAATATGGTCAGCTGGGTATGGAAACATTTTTTAAAAGCTCTGTAATCTAACTGCGTATCTGGAACCAGAAGTCAGTGTGGGCCTGTACACACACGTGTTGGAAATGTGGGTAATTGATCGCAGATAATAGCCTTGATCCATTAAGTGGATCTCCCGTTTACTGGGACAGCACGTCCTCAATCACAGGGCTGTGGAGCATTACAATGGCTTGGCCTTAATGAGTAAGTCGGGACTGGAGTCTGACAAAGGATTCTTTTTTTCTGGGAGGGGAATTCATTTATATGTAAAAGGGTTTCAAAGTTGTAAGAAAAAAACCACTTTCAGTCAGTTTCGTATTTAAGAATTTGCCTTTATTGGAAGTGAGAACACACAAGGTAAAGGTTGTTGTGCAAACCCTAGGCTGGGCGGCTACCCCTGGTGTCCACCTGAGCCCCCTTCCCTGTGACTGGGACCCCTCTTCGTTTCCGTCCCTGAACAGAACGCACCTCCTCCTCCAGAAACACATTCACGTCTGTCTCATTGAGTAGAAAGGGAAAGCTCAGAAAGCCATTCCCTTAAGTGGAAAATGTCGTCTCGATCCTGATTTTACAAGGTCTCCATTTTCTTTTCCCATCTGACACCAAAGTGGGTGTTTTTTTTTGTTGTTTTTTTTGTTGTTGTTTTTTTCCTTCTGGCGCCTTCCCACAGCCCAGCCCCTGGCGAGTGGGAGGTGAGGAGTGGGCGCCCTCTGCTGGCGTCTCAGCTGCATGCCACTCCGGATCCCGGCGGCCCCCGTATCTGGGTTGCCGGGTCCCCACGTCATTAAGAGCAGGCAGATGGAAGAAGGTATAAATAGAACGAGGAGCATCGCGCTGGCCTTAGACTCCAGGGAACAGTGACTTTGTGAAACTAAATATACCTCAAGTCAGAAGTGAATAAGAACGAGCAGCCCTTTACGCACATGCAACGTTGGTTGCCAGGGAGTTGCCAGAGACTGTTGGAGAAACCGTTTCCATGGCCACAGGCCCTGGTGCCATCCCCAACCCTGGGCAAAACACCGGAAGTGTGTTTCCCGTGTCCTTCCGGAAGTGTGTGTGTGGTTCCCCTGCTGCGTCTCTGGCTGCCCCGGATTTGCGGACGAGCAGGTGGATTTTCCTGGAGGGAAAACTCCCTGACCTTGGTAGTGATGACAGTGGCTGGTCCTTGAGCAGGGGCCACGTGCCACACACTCGGAACGCTTCGTACAGACTCTCAGGTGCCCGCTCGTTTGAGGTACCAGCTTTACGAGTATCTGCGGAATCGGTCCTACTTCTCGGCTGTCTTTGAAACCCACTTCGAATCTCTTTGTCCCAATCCGGAGAGATCCCTTTTAGAATTAGAGCACATAAATGTAACCTTAGAGAAGTGTATCCCCAGCACACGCTCCCGCCCCCACCCTCTCTTGCTCTCATGACGCATTTTACTGGGTCAGGCAAGGCAAAGACGAGCGTGTGCTATTAACTGTATCTTAATGCCCGTAACGATATGTTTAGGTTACCAGTAAGTCCTAAAAACTTAAGCCTAAAAACCCAGGGATTGTGGGTTGAGCTTTTTCTGTCCATTCTTGGCCCATCCAGGGGCCAAGTGGGGCACAAACATACTCGGTAGGCCATTCCTTTGAACCCGGGGTCTCTGGCTTCTGTGACCACGGCTCATAGTCAGAAATGTGGTTTGTGTTACAGTCTGATCCAAAAGTTAGAGGCACATACAAAGAATTTTTACAAAACAACATCCTTGTTATGGACAGTATCCTCGGGTGTTTCCTATTCTGTCCCTTTCATTTCTTAAAAATAATTGGTTTCATCCCCCAAAATCGATTTCATGGTACTGATCAGGTTGCGCCCCCAGATGGGAAAGCGTTACGTTGGTTGACAGAAGTGTCCCACGAGGCCCCGATGGGTCAGGCTGGGGCACGTGCTCACGGCTGCCACTGACTCCTGGCTCTGGTCGCCCCAGGACACAACTCGGACGGGAAGTTCATCGCCAGGGCGCAGCGGATAGAGTATGACTGCGAGCTGGTCCCCCGGCGTGTGGCCATCTTCATCGAGAAGACGAAAGACGGGCAGATTTTGCCAGTCCCAAATGTGGTCGTACGAGATGTGGCCTGTGGCGCTAATCACACGGTAAGGCCTGAGGGTTTCTGGCTTTCCCTCTGCTTCCCGAGCATCACCTCCGCGGAGAAGGGTTGTGTGTATTATATCTGGGAACCGATCCCGGAGATCTGTGACATCCTGCCCTCCTCCCACGGCTTTGCGCCATTCAGTTGTCTCGGGTCATAGTGCTTTAATAGTGTCTCTAACTTCTGGAGATGCAGCTAAGGACAGACGTTTGGGGGTCAGAATCCTACTGTAAGTGTCTTTCTGGCCTTGGCTTTTGTCTAACAGAGCACCACAGACCTCTTTCTAGGTCCATAGATGATCCCCCATATCGAGGGTGTTGAATGGTTTTCACCTGTGAAGGCTGTTCCCTTAAAGATCACTTGGAATAGGGGCGCCTGGGTGGCTCAGTCGTTAAGCGTCTGCCTTCAGCTCAGGTCATGATCCCAGGGTGCTGGGATCGAGCCCCGCGTCGGGCTCCCTGCTCAGCGGGGAGTCTGCTTCTCCCCCTCCCCTTGCTGTGCTCTCTCTGTCAAATGAATAAATAAAATCTTTTTTTAAAAAAATCACTTTGGGGCGCCTGGGTGGCTCAGCTGTTAAGCGTCTGCCTTCAGATCAGGTCATGATCCCAGGGTCCTGGGATCGAGCCCCGCATCGGGCTCTCTGCTCAGCGGGAAGCCTGCTTCTCTCTCTCCCACTCCCCCTGCTTGTGTTCCCTCTCTCGCTGTGTCTCTCTCTGTCAAATAAATAAATAAAATCTTTAAAAAAAAAAATCACTTTGGATAGATGACAGTACTGTTTTTGTGTACGTGCTGTTTTGTTTTGTTTTTATAAGATCTTATTGGTAAGTAATCGCCACACCCAACGTGGGGCTTGAACTCACAGCCCCGAGACCAGGAGTCGCTTCCTCCACCGACTGAGCCAGCCAGGCGCCCCGGTATTTGTGTCTGTTTATCTTCATTGCCTTTTTGCAGTTATTTTGCCCAAGAATGTCTGTGAGTCAAAATTGGCTCTCTTCTCTGTTGAAAGAGCACTGGGCTGGGAGTCCAGAGACCAAGCTGGTCCCCTGGTGTGTGGCTGGCTGACTGGCGAGTGACCTCAGGCATGGCTTCTTCCCTGCAGTGCTCCCTGTCTGGTGCTTAGTGATGTGGACTAGGAGATTTTGGTCCCCTGGAGTCTAAAGTCTGTGGTTCTCTTCTGTCCAGTGCAGTCTGGGGAAGCAAAGGTGGATCTTGTGTAGGCCTCATGTCAAGTGGTTTTAAGAGGTTGTACGTTCACACCATTCAAATGCTGAACGTTGAAGACGCCGTGAAGGAAACGTTTTTTGGGTTTTTTTGTTTTGTTTTTTTAATTTTTTTTAATTTTAATTTTTAAAAATTTTCTTTATTTGAGAGAGAGCACAAGAGGGGGTAAGGTCAGAGGGAGAAGCAGACTCTGCTGAGCAGGGAGCCTGATGCGGGACTCGATCCCGGGACTCCAGGATCATGACCTGAGCTGAAGGCAGTCGCTTAACCAACTGAGCCACCCAGGCACCCTGATTTGTTTTGTTTTTAAGTAGGCTTCACACCCAATGTGGGGCTTGAACTCATAACCCTGAGATCCAGACCGGAGCTGAGATCAAGAGTCTGATGCATACCTGAGCTACGGGGGTGCCCTGAAGATCAATTTTAAATTGTTTTCAGTCCCCGTGACCAGATGGAGGTCCCGTGTGAACGGGGTGGGGTGGGGGTTGTCTAAGAAAGAGTCCCAGGCAGGCCGGCCTTCCCTTGGTTCCTTCTGCAGTGCCGTCTACACTGTGATGGGGGAACCCGGTGCATTGACCTGCCCTCTGGAGACTCAGCTCATGCTTCTGAGGAGGAACCAGAGGGACTTGTGACTTTACGGAATAATGCAGGACGGAAAGTAGTGTCTGCAGCAGGGGAAAGAGGAAATGCCCTGTGCCCTCCCCTGCCTTGGGGCAGGTTCGGCTTATCTGCAGCATTTCTGCCTCTTACCATGTTGTTCTCTGCAACAGAGCAGTGCTCCTCTCGTCCCCTCGCATTGGGAGGCCCGTCCCAACGCTGTGTGTTCTCTCCGCCCGCAGCTGGTTCTGGACTCTCAGAAGCGTGTCTTCTCCTGGGGCTTCGGTGGCTATGGCCGCCTGGGCCACGCCGAGCAGAAGGACGAGATGGTCCCTCGCCTGGTGAAGCTGTTCGACTTCCCCGGGCGCGGGGCATCCCAGATCCACGCCGGCTACACCTGCTCGTTTGCTGTCAGCGAAGTGGGTTAGTGACTTCCCCCCTTTGGCCTCAGGAGCGGGGGGTGTGCAGAACCTCCCTGGCAGATGAGCACTCTGGTGGGTGGGGAGCCACAGAGTCCTTCTGCGTTCCTAGACCGAAACCCTGGTGTTCTGTCAGACAGAATGTTCCTCTCTTGTCCCCAGTGTGTGGCACCTTGCCTTTCTTGTTGCTGAAGAGGAGAATTCAGTTCTTGGCACGTGTGGTCACAGTGGGAATGTGTCTTGTCTTTCCCCAGGTGGCCTGTTCTTCTGGGGGGCCACCAACACGTCCCGCGAGTCTACCATGTACCCGAAGGCCGTACAGGACCTCTGTGGCTGGAGAATCCGGAGCCTGGCTTGTGGGTATGTGGCCGTGTTGCCTGGTGAGCAGGACGTCTGTCCCCTTCCTGGGCCTGGTGGACACCCAGGGGAGGGGGCCTCTTCCCTTGAGAGGCTTCATTGTACCACCCCACCCCCACCCCCCCGCTCCCTCATCAGGGCCTCAGATGCACCAGAGTTCAGGAGGGGGAGGGACTGTTTGGGGCAAGAGGGCTTGGTAGGTCCTAGGACATGACGGCTTGTATTCCTGCCTTCACAGAAAGAATACCCTCTTGACGGTTTCTGTTCTTCAAAGGCTTGGTGGGCTCTGCTCATCTTGCAGGTTAAAATTTTAGCTGAACATCATGGTAGGATTTTACTCTGACACGCTGGGAAGAAGTTGTCCTTAAGCCAGTACTTTTCAGTTTGAGAACACCTGTTGAGCTCTCTAGCACTTCTTTGTGAGGAGTTTATGTTAATCAAGTGCCAGGTGGCTTTGGGGGGTGGGGGAACAGTGTATTTCGGCAGTGGGGCTCCGGCTTTCATCTCTGCCAGAATGTCTAGCCCCATCTATGTTAGTTTTTTCTGCCCATGTTCCATCCCCTTTGGAATGAGAGCTCCATCCTGATTCGATGACCTCCTTTCCTGGTGGGACGGTCTGGGGCTGGGGGCCTGGTTCCTGGCGCTGTCTCGGGGCTCTGCTTCGGGGCCTGCGTGGGACACCATTGAGGGTTTCGGAGAAGCCTGTTGGCCTGGTGTGTGTAGTGGCAAAATGCGTGCCTCGCAGAATTTTTAATGGGATGGACTGGATCTTAATGCTGGTAGGTCACCCCCTGCTCTTGAGCCGGCAGCCTGCAGGAGCGCCTGTGGGGGCCGGGGCTGCTGGCCGCACTGGTGACAGCCCCTACCTGTTTGCAGGAAGAGCAGCATCATCGTGGCCGCTGACGAGAGCACCATCAGCTGGGGCCCATCGCCGACCTTCGGGGAGCTGGTAAGCGGGGGTCCCATGTGGCAGGGCGCAGGACCCAGGCCGGGCTCTCTGCGGCTGTGCCTCCTGAAGACGGGCGTCTGAAAGGCTGCGACGCTCCGCCGTCTTTGGGTCACATTGGCTCTTGGAGAGGATTCTGTGCCCATCACGTCATGGCGACAGTCCTTCACAGCCACGTTGTAAACGGAAACAGGGCGGTTTCAGATCCCGTTTCCCTGTGGTCTTGTAGCGCAGTTGAGGAGGTGTTCCGGTGACGCGGAAGGGGGTGCTTTCTCTGCTCCCCTCTGGGAGGGTTCCCGTCAGCCGGAGCAGTGGGGCATCGGGCACCGTGTGGCCCCCGGGTTTTCACCTGCTCCTCCACAGAACGGTGCGCCACGGGGCCAGCCTCTCGGGTCACTTGGGGACATTATTCCCTCATTTTTCCTAAGTAAGTCAAAGTCTCTGTTGCCTGCTTTTAATCTCCGTTGCCTGACTGATGAGAACCGATGGCCCTCGATTTCTCACCCGTACTTGGCCTTCCCCAACCAACTGTCTGATTCTTCAGTTCTGGTGCCTGATGAGTCTTTAACTTTTCATTTCTTCATCGAGAACAGCTTGGCTGCGGAGCTCGGCTGGCGGTCTGCCCGTTTAGTTGCGATTTGATCCTCAGCCTCTTTGTTATTTCCTGTGGGGAAGACGGTCTGTTTCCCTTCCCGCCTCGCTCGTGGGTGGGAGCTGAGGGGCGATGGAGAGGAGGGAAGGGGGGGGCTTCTTGGTCCCTTGAGCCATCTCCGGGACTTGGTGGCCTTGTCTTCGGTGTTCTGTGCAGACTTCGGGGCTCCACGGGGGCCCTCTGGCAGCAGACGCTCCGGCCTCTCAGAGGCAGCCCCGAACTCAGGAGACTGAGCCTGGCCCGATTTTTATGGATTCTTCTCAGAGAGGGCCAGGTGTTTCTAGGGCCTATCAGAGAGGGACTCCAAATACCAAATTTAGAAACCAGAGGGGAACAAGGGGGACTTTGGGGCGGCATCTCGGGGTGAGGAGGAGACAGCAGGGCGTCTGGGAGGAAGCACTCACTGAACGGGAAGGTGTGAGGAGGCATCTGGCGGCAGATGGAGCTGGGAACGGAGGGCTCTGCTGGCCCCGGAAGCCCCCATCCCCACCCGGTCTGCGTGACTCCCTGGGAGCAGTCTTAGAGCAGAGCCCGTTGGCTCTGGCGTCCTGGGGTCTGGGGGGGATGGGGGCTGTTCAGTGTCCAGCCTGCAGGGGGAGTGTGGGGACAGCTGGTGTTTTTCGTGATGATGGTGTCTCCCCGGTGACCACCCCCAAAAGGTGCCCGTTACCACACAGACCTGCACGGGTGACAGTTCAGCGTCAGGTTCTTCCTCGGGTTGAGAATCAGTCCCCTGTTGGCAGCACTTCTGCGGGTAGGTGTTGCTCACGAAGCCAGCCATGGTGTCAGGCATGGCGGGGCTCTGTCACCATGCCAGCCGTTGCTGGCTCTGGCTCCCGGACACCGGGGTCCCCACAGATGTCGCCATGGTTCCCATATCTGGACTACCGCAGCGACCCCAGCTCTGTGTCTCTGTTCGCTTCGCCAGGGCTACGGGGACCACAAGCCCAAGTCCTCCACCGCGGCTCAGGAGGTGAAGACGCTGGATGGCATTTTCACAGAGCAGGTGAGCGGGGGCCTCCGGGCCAGCGAGAAGCTAAAGGGGCCGGTAGCAGAGCGAAGAAAGGCTGTGCCAAACCACACCTGACTTGCCCTGCTCCTGGGCGCGTGAGCCTGTTTGAGGCTGGTCTCGTCTCCCTGAGTGGCTTTTCTGCCGCATCACGCGCTAGAGGTTTGGTGGGGAATGGGCATCGGTAGGAAGAGGCACGGGGCAAGCCGGCCAGGCTCCGTAGCTGTTCTCACCCTGAATGACACTGGCCGCAGTCCAGCCACGGTGGATTTGTTCTGGGGACAAGGGTACCACTCACGTCTGCTTTGTACCTTCAGCTGAGACTATGTACTGTTAGGTCAGCGGGGCAGATGGCAGGGGTGAGGCTCCTGCTTCTCTGTTCAGCCAACCACCCTGCCCACTCCTGTCTGCCAACACACAGATGGGGCATGTGCCCGCACACAAGGCAGGATCGTGGTCCAGAGAGGCAGAGGGAACAGGGAGCAGGATCCCCACGTCCCTTCCGGTCTCTGCTGACAGCGTTGAACCCCTGCTTCGTGGCAGCCTGGAAGGCTTTGGTTGGCAGGGCGTCAGTAACGGGTCACGTGGACACTAGTGCCATGGGGCAAAGGGCGTGGAGGCGGTCCCATCCCCAGTGCCTGGTGGCCCGCTGTCCGCTCCACTGTCCAGGACGGACCCTGGCCCATCCAGCACTGATCTGTTCCCCCAGGTGGCCATGGGCTACGCGCACTCCCTGGTAATAGCTCGAGATGAAAGCGAGACGGAGAAAGAGAAGATCAAGAAACTGCCAGAGTACAACCCCCGGACCCTCTGATTCTCCCGGAGCCCCCGCAGCTCCACCCCTCCCGCGGCAGCTGTCAGTTCCACGTGCACTGGGACGGGACGTCAAACGAGGAATTTAAGAAAGCAGAAGTTGACCGAAGGTGCATTTTTGTTAGACTCCCTGAGGTTCCGTTTTATAAGTGATTCAACGTCAACTACCTTTTCTGTATGCGTTCCAAAGTGATTTTTTTTTCCTCTTAATGTTTAATTAAAATATTTGCTCATAGTTGACTTACCATTCCTACAAGAGGCAGAAACTTTGAGCAACCTAGGTGTTTTTTTTTTTCCCTTCAAGTTGTTTTTCTTTTTTTCCTGCTCTTAAATACACTTCTCAGAACACCCTTTTCCAGTTGTAACTAGCATTGTGATCCGAGTGGGGGCTCCCTGGGAGAGGAGTCCCCGTTGACGCAGGAAGAAATGTCCCTTCCGGGAACCTGCAGCGGCTGGACAGAGACCGTCCTGGTGGTGGATCTCCATCCAAAATCACGCCCGCCTGCTTCGGAAGCATCTGGGTCACTTTCTTTCCCGCTTGTTCCTGTAGACCAGCTGAGGCTGGCGTTCTCTTTCTCTCCTTGGCTGCTTGTAAACCCCACCGCCTTTTGGCTGCAACATTAATAGAATCTGCCGTTTCCCCCCTGGTGGGGGCTCTGGGGTCTGTGTTTAGCCATTTTTATCTACTTTAGCTGTAAAAGAAGTCCAAATGAAAATCAGGTGATTGTGGACCCAGTGGGGACCTGGGGGGGTGGGCAGACGTGGGGACAATGTGTCTGGTTCGGCTCTAAGGTTCCTCTGACGTGGCCAGCCCTCGCCATTAGAGATTGATCAGCCAGCAGTTTAAAAAAAAAAAAAGTGCATTCTGGAGTCCTTGCAAGGATCAGCCCTTTACGTACCAGCCTTTATCACCTCTGTGCTTCTGTCCCTGCCCCCGCCGGATCCTGCTGGAACAGACCCTGGCTCTGAGATGCGGGGTCCTGTTCTACTATAACCCAGCTCTCTGGTCGCCTTGCTTGGCTGTGGTACCAAAGAGTTGGGATTCCTGAAGAAGTCCCCCTTCCCCGCGTGTCGGCGCAGACCTGTGACTGCCACCCCGCTTCCCGCCACGTGCCCTCTGCCCGAGCTCGTCACCGGCGTTGCGCTGCTCTGCGTGAGTTACGAGGTGCCTTTCCCGGACCCCTCCGCTCACTTGGACCCAGGAGAGGCGACAGCTCTGGCTGGGGCTCTTGGTTTCGAGAGGGTCTGGGCTGGTTTGGGTGCTTTAAAATAGATTTTTTAGTTCCGTGGTGCTTCTGGGGGAGATGGGGATAGAACTTCAGTGTGACACTTGGGTGGATGGGAAAGTTGAATATGGGTCTTTTTTTTTAATTCTTTGCTTTGCTGTTGTTACCACCTGTCATTGTCTCGATGTTAAAATGCCAAAAATGATCTAGTCGTCGTCGCTTTTTTCCCTGCCCGTCCCCCGTCACGCCTTACGGCAGCTTCAGCCTTTCCAGGGCATTTGACAGGATCTGTCCTGGCCAGTCCCAAGGCCTTGCGCGAGGAGAGCGGCCCGCGTCTTCCTAAGGTTTAGTCTGACTTCACGCTCATCTTTGCTGTCCTGTCAGTCCGTAGTCCAGGGGAGAAGCTTCTGCTAAACTAACCTAATTTGTCCAAATCACCCCCAAAGCCACCATCTCGGGCTCTCACTTCCGTGCAGGGCACCCACCTGTTTTCCCAGACACAAGTCTTTCTCCTGGAATGGGGCTTCGGCGCATGTGCCCCTTGGACCCGCACCGCTGCCCCGGGGTCCCCTCTGCGGGAGCCGCCCCAGGGCAGGCAGGGCTCCGATCTTCCAGGGGACTAGTGTGAAACCCGCCACCAGCCTACTTTCGGGCCCCTTGCCAGGGACTGGAGCAGCCTAGGCACGGAACTTCGAGTGAAGACGGCCCTCTTCTCTGCCACAATCACTCCTTTTGGCTTAGAATTTTAAAATGAACTTCCTAACGGGGAAAAAAATCCTTCATGACAAGGAATTAGGGGGTGGTCCTGCACTCCAAGAGAAAGAGTAGCCCTGGCCCAGGCTGGGCTGGGCTGAGAGGACTTTGCGCCGACCCCCAGGGCATCTGACCCGCCTTCTAGCTCTGGCAGGAGTCCCTGGAAGAGGGGGTTCAGGGCAAAGGGGAGAGAACCCAAGAAGAGGTTGTGATTTGGTCGAAGGTGCCTGGTTTAGTGCTGTAATTGTCTTATTTTTTTTTTATATATATATTTCTTGGAGTAAACATTTTAAATAAACGACATCATTGTTTACTCTGTTTTGGCTTTTGTGCTTCTTTTTCAGTAGAACCAGCATCAGTCGTTAAGAACACGGAGCAACTCCGTTTTTCTCCGCTCCCGCAGGCACCCCCCACACCGAGGCTCCCCTGAGAAAGATGGGCTTCAGGGGAGCTTGGTTCAGTTTCTAGGCTTAAACCTGGGGCTGAAGGTGAGTGGAGCTCCCACCTCTTCCCGGAAACATGTGACCCTCAGGGAGGTGTCCTCCTTCACTGGCCCAACTCAAAAAGGGGGTTTGGGTTTGCCCCATTGGGGCTCTGAGGGCAAACGCTCAGGCATGGAAAAGCACTGGAATTGGGGTAGGTCCATGTGCCCAGAAACGTCTGTCCTCATTCCCCACCCTTCCCCCGCCCGGCTTCCAAGGGGAACCCGAGCCCTCCTCTCCTGTCTGTCATCTGCCACGTAAGCCCCGGTCACAGAGGTGCTCCAGGCCAGGGCCGGCCGCCTGCCGCTGTACAGCCAACTGCCCACCAGGGGGCACCGAGGAGCCAGCCAGTCAGGTGCTCTGAAGCCCCAGACACTTTGCTGTGTCCAGGTTGACCCCCTTTGTTCCCAGGCTGCTGCTCCCGGCTGACTCGGCTGAGCTCTTCCCCCGGGCCCCGGCCACCTGCACGCAGAGCACCCAACAGCCGCCACTGTGGAGCCTCCCAGCTGCTGGCTGCACTCGGTCCTCAGACCAGCCTCCCCTCCCCTCCCTGTCTTTGCCCCCCTCCCCCACCCCAGTGGCATTGCCCATCAGCAGGAGGAGGGGCGGAGCCTCTGGGTGGTTAGACCTCAGAAGCACTTACCTAAAAAGGGTCTTCATGCTATCCACCCAGGGGTTGGGGGACAGGTGGAAAGAGGCAGCTTTGGGTCCCAGGATGGGCATTTCTTCTCTCCAGGACACTTGAGGTTAACAAAGGTAACCCCCCCCAGGCCTGCCCCCACTGTATCTTGTGCCTCTGACCCCAGAGATGCCAGCTACCCACAAGGGGCAATGCCTCTTCCTTCCCCGAGCCTGGAGGCCGTCACTGTGCTCAAGTGTGTAGACCCAGCCTGCCAGAAGGGCTTGAACTAGAGAAAAATGGAAGTAATCTGAATCCAGCCTTGTCCCTGCCCCCTTCCCTGCCCAGGTGGGGCAGCCTGACCACAGGAATCCCAGGGGCTCAACTTTCCATCCTTAGCTGTCATCCCCATCCTCAAAACAAGACAACTACCAAGATGCATTCAGAACACCTAGAACTTTAATGGATACTTAGTAACCACTTCTCCATGAAGACTGTTTTCCAAGCGGGTTTGAGCTGGCAGCGTCGGCCACCCCCTCCAGATACTGAGGGACGAGGGTGGCCGGGGGGAGGAGGGGTGTATTGCTCTCCGGACAGGCAGGGCATTGGGATGCTGTGGAATGGTGATTAAGGGGCCGTTCCCGCTGGGGCGGGGCTAGGCCTGGGGCTCGGGCACCATCCTCCACCATTTGAAGGCAAAGGGTACCCGGCGGATGTTGGCACAGGCACAGGAGTCCCCGATTTCAGTCAGGTAGCAGTCGAAGTCATCGATGAAAGTGCACTGGAAGCCCAGGGGCTCTAACAACTGGCAGATCTTTTCTTCCAGGCAGCAGATGCCCTTGATCTGGGGCCCAAAAGGCTTGGGGATGCCCAGATTCTTGTCCATCACGATCATCTGCAGCTGTCAGAGACAGGATGGGCAAAGCTGAGGTAGGGGTCAGAGCCACGGAAGAAAGCCCCCTTGGTGGTCAGGCTCAACCACACGCAGCAAGCACAGGGCAGCTTTCTTGAGGCTGTGTCCCTGCAGACATGACCAGTCAACCTCCGCAAAATCCAACTCACTTTTGCTGAAACTTCCCGTGGCCCTGACAGGTTTCAGCAAAACCGAAATCCCGGTCGGGCCACGGTCTGGCTCTGCAGACCTCCTTGGTTCCTTTCTCTACGGCGCTTCTCTTGTTCTGGACAGGAAGTTTCCTAATCTGGGTGCCTCTCCTGGGATGCCCTCCCCCCAAGCTCTGTCGGTTGACTTCGGTCCATTTCTCCTTTCTCAACTCCAGCCTCTCTTCCTCAAACACACTTCCCCCACTGCTACCCACCCCTGCTCCCAGGGCCATGTCGTGCCAGGGGGCCCCCTGGTCTTCTAGAATTAAAAGCTAGCCACGTGTGACTGATGAATGCAGGGCCTGTGTCCCTGGGATTCAGAAGAGGGTAAGCAGTGCCCCCGTCTGTGAGGTGGGCATGTAGCATCGCTCCCTCAGGGTTGGGGATGAGCCCAGGGCCTGGCCCATGGTCACTGCTTGGCCAGTCACCCAGCCTGGGACCTGCTGGTCTGCTCCCTGAAGCGGTGTTCCCTAACCGAGGGAGAGAAGAGCTTCCACACCTCCCTTCCTCAGGCACCGCTGTCTGCTGGGCCTGAGCCTCTAGTCCCGCAGCAGGGAGGTCAGGAGACCAGCCGGAGTTCGCAGAACATGCCCCCCCCAGCCCAGCCCCTGCATGCCTCACCAGGTCCGGGAAGTAGGGCCTCGCGAACAATTTCGCCATCTGCTCGTTGGAGGGCACGTTAGTCAGCTGCTCCAAGCAGAAGAGCTGCGGGATGTCAATGATGTCCCTCTCCACCAGGCCCAGCTCCTTCTTCAGGATGTCACGGTTCAGGTTGATGCACTTCTGTGGGGCAGGAAGGGGCCGGGAGACCCAGGGTCATGGCCTGAATGGCCACGGTCTTCATCCCACACCGTGTGCAGGCAGCCTTTCATGGCCGGCCCACCCTCCGACAGAGGGCACACAGTTCCCTTTGGGGGCTGCGGGGGGTGGTGGGCGTAGGGCTCGGAGGAAAGGCCGGGATCCCACAGCTGGTCGGTGCGGGGCAGCATGGGGGTGGGGGCGGTCGTTTGGCCCTCAGTCCTGGCCAGCGTGGGGGAGCTGGGCCAGGCCAGGCCAGGGCAAGAGGAAGTCCTCTGTGGGCAGCCTGCTTCCTTCCTTAGGCTAGGAGCCGTAAGGTCCCAGGGGGCAGAGTGGTTTGTGCTGTGACCTTGGACAGACCCTTGCTCTTTTCCAGACTTCTGTTCCCCGCTGGAAGTTGGATAAGCTCTTCTGGGAACTCCTAGCCAGTGATTCACAACGAGGCTGGAGGTGCTGGGTGGCCCAGAACACAGCTCATGGGCCACTTCAGGAAGCATGGAGACGACCCTGGTCCAAATCTCCAGAACTTGGAGCTTCTTAGGGGAGTTGGGGGGGTGTCCTCAATTTCCTGGTCAGACACTAGGCAACTTGTGTGGCCCAGAGCATGTCTTTGTGGGTCAGACTTGGGAATCAAACCCAGTTCCCCCTACTCCTTGGCTTAGTTCACACCTGGGCGCTAAGCCTCCCTATCCTCCTATGCTTCAGGGGATGATCAAGGTAATCAAGATAATATCTTTCATGATGCTTGGGCTAAGTAGTTGCTCAATGAGGACCTTGTCTAAATTGTCCATGCCTCCCCCCACTTTTTGGAGAAGGTCTCTCACCCCCTGGGCCCTACCTCTACATAGTTGTTCTGCTTCCTCATGTTTTCATCAGCCAGAAGTTGATTGATGGTGTTGGCCTCCCTCCCTGTAGACGGAAGGAGAGGGCGGGCAGGATGTAAGGCCAGGGAGCAGTTCCTCCCAGGGCCGGGCCAACTGGGTGTATTGTTACCCCGGTGACTCTGACAGGTGACCTGGCCGTCTCCAGAGACCTACCTAGGTCACCTGTCACCCCTGGGGACTGACATCAAGGTCATTAAAGCTCAGGGAGGACTATTGCTGCCCCCCAGCCTCTCTGGCCCTGGTAGGAGGGGAGACAGCCTGGAACAGGTTAGCAGGTGACTCCAGCCCCCACTCCCCTCTCCCCTGGGCAGCTCTGTGCATCATGTGACCCAAACCACCCAGTCACCTCCTACCTGAGACCTTGACTAGGCTATTTAACTGCGTTCCTCAGTTGCTTTGTCTTTAGGACAGGGATGGCCTGCTCAGGCCCCAGCTGAGGTAACACAGTCTTCGGTGTGTGGGGTGTGATACTGAGCGGCTCGTGCTCAGTAAATGTCACTTTCTAGAAGTGTTTCTAGAACCCATGTGATTCCTGGGCCCCACCCCAAAGGTGGATTCACCAGGTCCAGTGTGGGGCTGAAATTGCGTGTTTCTGACAAGCCTCCGGGTGACCCTGAAGCCGCCCTTGGAGGAGCATGGGGTCTAGAGAGCTTCCCAGCAGCCCCTCCCTGGGTTCCCACGGACTTTCAGACAGAATGACTGTGCCCCAGCCACATGATCTCCGCCTGTCCACGTAGGTTTTCCACAAGGTGCCCAGGGGACCCCTGAAGTCCAAAAGCCCAGACACTCGACTCCACGTTCCCCGAGTAGGTAGACATGAGTGTTGGTAGCACCTGGTTTTGCCTCCTCATCCCCCCACGGAGTCCCCTTCCCATACACTTGGCCGCCCCCCTCCGCCACCCCCAGAACTTCTGGCTGACTGGCCCGGGCGGCCCTAGCATCACCAGAATAGCCCCGAAACAGAAGAGGTTCTCATGTGCTACGCGTTAGGCTTTCCTGCTTGCCTGGCACTCTGCGCAGCAGGAAGCACAAAGGGAGACCGGCCCTCTAGAGAGGGCATCTGGGAAAGGAGGAACTGGCTTCTGCTTCTGTTTCAGTGCCAGGGGCTTTGCTCACCGTTGGAAAGGAGCTGGTCCTCCCGGACCTCTGCAAACAGAGTCAGGTCTCCGTAGCCCTCCTTCTGTTTCTCCTCGAACAGTCTGTAGCAGGAGCTGGGGCTGGCCAGGAGCAGCCGGAAGCCCTGGGAAACTAGGGTCAGATGCTAGCTTCCCCTCCAGAAGCTTCCAAGGGGCTTTACAAGGGGGGAGACCCCTCCCTCTCCAGCCTGCACCCCTACCCCCACTGACCTTGTCACCCTCGCTCTTGTCCTGCGTGGGGATGAAGCACATGAACTCATCCACGTGGCCGACCATCAGCCAGTCCGAGAAGAGCTCC